GGCTGCTGTGATCAAAGGCAGGAAGTTTAGTGGTTTGAGAAGGGTGAGCACTGAGTGGAGTGTGGCTGCTGTTAGCAGCCATGGCAAAGGCCAGCTAAGAGCAGAGGCCATGAGTTTGCAATGTGGCCAGTGTCCACCGTCCTCGAAGGCAAGGCTTCCTCCAGAAGTGCCTTCCTGCCCTGACAAGAAACAGCCATGGCCTCAAGAGAGAAGTGTGGAGACTTGGAGCCGAGGAGTTAAGAGGGGCCTGGTGGGGGTAATGGGGATGAACTGAGTTGCCGCTTGGAAGGAGTGGGGTCGGGCAAGGCTGGTCTATGGAGAGAAGTTGGCCTTCAAGAAGAGGGAGGCCAAAAGAGGTCCAGCTGTCAGAAGAATGAATGATGTAGCTGTGGGGAGATGTTTGTTTTCTATCTTGAAATGGGCCATGGCATTTGAACGGAGGATTTTTATGGAGGGGGAAGGTGTAATGCTGTTTGATGAGAAAGGATCCTGTGGCAAGTTAGCTGGATCCAGATTTATACTTGTGTCTGCTCACTGTTCAACAGTAGCTGTCAGTCACTGCTGCTTAGCAGCTCTGAGGAAGTAGTTTGGGAAGTTGAAGAGTTTACATGCAACCAGCATTGCCTTCTCCCTCCAAGGACAATAAACTGTGAGTGATTATAGACTCCACAGGCTATGCTAGGTCTTGTGCTCAACAGAATTCCTCCTGTACCTTAAGCGGAATCTGGTATGAACATGAGAATTTTGTTTTCTAATCTCCACTAAACTCTCACTAACCAATGTATTTGTCTAGTTTCTGCACAATCCCCAACACACAGACTGTGACAGCTACCCCACCCCCATAGTTTTCCCTCATACTTCATTGTAAATTGCAGTGAAAACAGAAGCTAGGCCTTGATGAGAAACAGGACAGAAGTAATATGTCACTGTCATCTACTCTCAGGTCCATAACTCCCAAACCAGGTTAGTTTTAGCTTTGGGCTCTTCTGTGGGTACACAGTTTGCTCAGCAGTTGTCTGTCCAGCCAGTTGGCTTTGTGAGTATCTTTGTAGTTCTAGCTGTCCTATTGCTGCCCAGGGAAGTAGTGCAGGCACCTTAGAGTGAAGCACTCAGGCCTAGAATCCAAATAGAGCTCTGAGCGTGGACCTCCAGGTTCTGCCGCCACCAGCAACTACCTAAGGTCCTTGTGCAAGAGTCTCGAAGATGAGAATGGTGTCTGTCTTGATCTCGGTTGCTGAGTGAAATGTCTTTGAATGTAAAGGTTGAAACACACTCATTCACAGAAGCGGAAGTAGCAAAATTTGAGCTCACTTGCCTTGCAAAAATTGTGATCTGCAAGTTAATGTTGTTGGCTCAGTTCTAAGAGCATGGTTCTTTTTAGCTTTTTTTTCAATGAGAGGATATTTCTCAGGTTTTGTGTGTGTGTGTGTGTGTGTGTGTGTGTGTGTGTGTGTGTGTGTGTGTGCGCGCGCGCGCCTTTTAAAAAACCTTCCATTATGAGGTTGGAGAGATGACTCAGTGGTTAAGGGCTCTGACTGCTCTTTCAGAGGACCTGAGTTCAATTTCCAGCGCCCACCTGGCCGCTCATAACTATCCATAAATCTAGTTCCAAGGGATCCTAAACCCATACATATAAAACAAAAAACCTTCCATTAAAAAACTGGATTGTCATATCTTCAAATTTTGTAAACTGAGCCACAGTACTGAAGATTTATTTGAGGTCTTCTAAGCCCTCTGTTTTCAACTTTCATTTATTTCTTGGCTGTGCTAAAATGGACTGCCCCCCTTTCCCCCCCCCCAGCCAGGACACACACTGGATTGGTCTTTACTTCCGGCCTTTGATTTCATATGCCAATTTGTAACCTGGTTTCCACTTCAGGAGTCATGGCTGCTTCTGTGTTTTTTTTTTTTTTTTTTTTTTTTTTTTTTTTTTTGAGTCCAATAAGCCTCTTAAAAAACATTTGGACTTTTTTTTAATTGAAGGTTCTGTGCTTTCATTGTAAGTTTAATAACCCTAGGTTCTTTTCCATCTAAATCTCAAGCCATTAAAACTTTAAAACTGGTAAATGGTAGCCAGGGGCAGTTAGGGGACTCAGTTAAAGCTTTAAAGGTTCATTTTTGTAAGGTTGGAGTTACTTTTACATCCTTAAGACTCTTTGCTTCAGCTTTTGTTAAGTCCTTTGTGCCACTCGAGAAAAAAAAATAATTATCACACTTTATAATAGGGTCTGCCCATAACCAGAGGCATTTAAACAGCCCCGCCTCAGTAAAACCTGGTTACTCTTTGGCATCACTCATCAGTCTTTGGCCTTCGGAGTGCGTTCTTTCAGGTAGCATACCCTCTTGTCCGGAGGTTGAGGGTTACTGGAGAGCCTGGTGCTGTGCACCTGCTGTCAATATTCTCTCAGGACAACAGGCTCCTGTCACAATGTGGGCATATGGAGGGGCATTCCGGACCTGCTGTTTCTGTTACTTGAAAAATGACACACAATTATTCTCTTTGTATTAGAAAGTTAGCACTCACAGAGTATTTGGGTCTGGAGGTAGGTAGGGAGAGAGAAGAGCATGTTTCCTTCTTCGGCCCTGTTGTGCCTCCTAGGATGTGACTGAGGGCCATCTTGGGGACATCGGCTTCTGTTCTGACCTATCTGTCTGCCTCTGCTTCTCTGTGTTCAGGAGCAGTAGCTCCCAGACCCATGGCTTCTGTACTATTTTAATTTCTTGCAAGAGCTCTTGGCAGTCTCTGCTGTGTTCCTGGAATTTGAAAGGTGATTTGAAAAAGAAAAATAAAAGCCCGTTTATGCTGATGGCTGCCTGGTGGCATCCTGGCAGAACCATTTCCTGTGAATCAGGAGCTCCCTCACAGAGTGTGACTGCAGGGACCATTGCTGTCAGAGGACCCTGGAGTCTCTGTTTGAATGCGTGAGAAGGCATTTCCTGTGGGCCTTTTCCACCATGCACACTGTTAGTTGTCAGGGAGTACTGACCAGGTAGTGAGTCCATAATCTCTCTTATCTGCTAGGCAGAAGATGGTGTTAGTGATTGGGAGCTGTTGGTTGCACTCTACAGAGCAGGAGTGGGCAAGTGGGAGTCTCATGCCTGCCTGCCTTCTCTCCATGTTCTAGTATGGCTGCTGCCCAGCACACACAGAGACACCCTTCCTAAGCATCAGCTTGTCAGGCAGCTGCAATGCTGGCGAGTCTGTCCAGGTCTTCTGTAGTGTTTTTATTTTTGTCACTGTGGTACATGTCCAGTATGGCAAGGTTATTATTGATGATGAGAGAAGGCAAAAGATATTTCAAGACCAGATGAGACATTTGGGGGGCTGACGGATAGTTATAACCTCAGAAAAAGGGAACTTTCTAGAGTGCCAGTGTGGTGAGTTGGTGCCAAATGCACTTTTGCTAAATGGACTTTGGCTAGATCTTGTGGTCCCAGGTGTGTTTCGCAGTAACTTTCTTATTTTTCTCGTGGCTTGCTTCATAGCAGGGTACACTGTTGCTGTCTTCCACACCCACTTTTCAGGCTAAGTGATGTCTTGTATTCACTTTCCCAGTGCTTCACAAAAGCAGAAATACAGCATACCTACCAGGATCGGTGAAAGACAGCTGCTCTTTAGATCACCGCTGCTGTCCTCGTCCCCGGCCTGAGTTAATGCTGCCAAAACATGATGGGATCATCTGCTTGGCCAAAGGATAGACAGAGAGCACTGTAGAAAGGAGCATGCCACCCCCAGGTGCAAAGAACTGCAGCCGACATGTCTTCCTCCATCACCAGGCTTAAGTTGTGTGGCCATTAACAAGGAAGGGAAGAAAAGGGTGGCTCAGGCCTCTTGACCTACCTGGCTTGTTCATGAATAGCTGCTGTACGTACCGGCTATGACCAGAAGCCCCTTTGAATGTCTTTCCTAAACAGCAAGTTGCTCTGCCTTCTTTCCCCTTGTTAGCTTGTTGAGTGAGCCTCACATGGCTGTGTCACTTTAAGTCCTTTGAAGATAGGTGGCCTGGATAGGAAATTCACCATATACTGAACAGCGCTTCTGTCAAAAGGTGCACATGGCCAAGGGTGTTTGCAACGTGGTTCCTTAATGTGGTGAGGTGAATAGTGACATTCTACTGTAGTGGGATAACTAAGCACCTCCCCTTTTTATAGAAAAATCCTCTTGCAGATTTCCGCTCTAGTTGATGGACCACATGAAGGAGTGCTGTAGATGTGTGAGATTGTCTCCTGTGTCCAAGAACACATCCCCTCACCTTATAGGAATGGACTCGCAATGTGCAGGAAAAATACAATGACAAGTAGAACCTTTAATTACAAATAAAAGTGGAATAAGCTTCCTTTGTGTGTGTGTGTACGTTCTGTTTCCTAGTAGTCACTAACCACTGTGCTAGAAGTCATGCATGCCACATGCTAGGTAAGCTGTGTGGAGATAAGAGTCCCTGTTTCCCTAGACAGGTGGATGAGCTTGTCTTTTGATGGGGAGAGATGCTCCAGGGCACCAACCCTTTCTAGTTGAATTTAGTTCCAGTATGTCTAGGTAGAAGAAAAATATTTACCACACAAAATAAAGCTGTTGGAAAAATGAGTCTCTGAGGAAACCCAGTCCTAAGCACTGAAAAGCAAACCACTTGGACTCCACTGAGTTCGCCTGAGGGCTTTCGGATCAGCAGTTATAATTTTGGTAATTATCATGATGTAAAGCAAGCAGGTTATGGTTCTTATTTGCCTAGGAAATGATTGTAGCTACCACTACATAATGGATTTGCCACTAGGGTAAAGTTATTCACATCACTCTTTCTCAGAATAAATTTGTATGTGACACTCAAATGTCAGGCTTTGCATTGTGTTTGGCTACCATTTCCTTAGTTCCTTCAGAGTTTTATGATGTGTAATAAATGAGCTATTTACCAATTTCTCGTTGAACTGAAATACATGTTTGGATTGTTAGAGTTTGTGATTTAGAAGCATCTGGCTTACCCTTGTTTTTATTTATTAAACAGGAAAAGGACCAGCGCAGCCTAGACATAAACACTGCCAAGTGCATGTTGGGACTGTTATTAGGAAAAATCTGGCCCCTTTTTCCAGTTTTTCACCAATTCTTAGAGGTACCAAATTATTACTTTATGAAATGTATGTTTGCTTGCTTAGAACTACCATATATTTCATCTGTTTTGTGTGATTACTTTTTTCTTTGTTGTAGCTTTCTGCTCATAGAAATTATGGTTCCCTGATTGCTGTCAATCAGCAGCTGCATATCTTGGGGAGAGTGTGTGTGTGTGTGTGTGTGTGTGTGTGTGTGTGTGTGTTAGTAGTAGTTTGTGTACGAACAGCCAAGTGCCCCTTCTCTCCTCTCGGCCCCTTGTAGGAGAGACTCCACTGGTATTAGACTCCCAATAGAAGTCAAGCTTTACTTTCTTTCAGATGAATTTCCAGTTTTACGCCAACATTAAATATCAGCCACCTGCCTTTCACTGAAAAGAGTTTGTGATTTGTTCTTAACGGCTTTCATCTCCAAGTACCTACCGGAGTGCTTGGATAGCTGTGAGCCCTGGATTAGGTGTGCCCACAGTGTCTCCTTCAATTTAAACGTGCTTAACCAGGTGGCAGAAACAACCAACATTTCCTTACATCGTTGCTGTTTGCTTTCACAGCAGGCCACAATTTTGGGCTGCCAATAATTAGTTGTGGGTTTTCTCCAAATGTCCTTTGGCAGAACCTGGAGGAAGCAGAGAAGTATTTGAGTTGCTTGGGCTGTCTGTCACATGTGGCATCTGCCTTGGGCCCCCTCCTACTTGAGCCCTTTTAAACATGGCCTTTGGTTTCAAGGTTGAGTATAGAATCTTTGAGAAAATCCTGTGTCTTGCCCAATTCCAACACCCACTTGAAATAATCTTTCTTTACAACTTGCTTTATGTAGTGGCCCATAATACTTAGCAATCAGTGTAACCTTTGAAGATTGTTACTAGAAGCCACTTGTAACTACTAACTGGCACTCCATAAGAAAGCTAGTAAAAGCTGCTCATCAATACAATACAAGTACATGTTGATGCAATGGTGCGCTCTCCCTGGAGTCTGTCCCAGCTTCCCTGTCCATCACTGAGAGAAGCCCTCACTATTGGAACAGGAGTAGGAAAGAAATGGGCTTTTTGTTTGTTTGTTTTTCAAGACAGGGTTTCTCTGTGTAGCTTTGGAGCCTATCCTGGCACTCTCTCTGGAGACCAGGCTGGCCTCGAACTCATAGAGATCTGCCTGCCCCTGCCTCTCGAGTGCTGGGATTAAAGGTGTGCACCACCAACTGTGCCTGGCAAGAAATGGGTTCTTGTACGCAGTGAGTCTAGTAGGATTTGAACCTTCAGGTGAGGAGCCCTTTGGCTTCGAGTAAGTTTGACATTGCTCAGTACCAGGAACACTACTGGCTGTTTTGAGACTGGTTTCACTTTTCATGTTTCAGAAGTTAAAGTCTGTGCTTTTCTCTTGCTAAGTTGGTGTTTTTCCCTTTAGAAGGAGGCAGCAGCATGCTCACTCCAGCCTGTCCTTTGCCTGCATCTTCAAAACTGTTGGCTTGACTCTTTGCCCTTTTAAAAAGATTTACATTATTTTACTATTTTTGATTTTATTTTTTTTTTCTATTAGGATTTTTTTTTTAATGTTAGCTCTGGATTTTGCATTTGAAACTCTAGGATACTGTGTTTATCTACCTGTAGCAGATTTCTTGTTTAAGAGTGATAGAGTAATCACTTCATGACTGTCCCAGTTTCTTCTGTGATGAGAGTCATGGAGGAGCTAGCTCCCAGCTCTGAGCCACTGGCACCAAGTAGCCACCTGATGCATGCACTTGAAGCCAGCAGCTTGGCAGTGAGCAGGACTGTTGCATTGGCTTGTCGCTGAGACTTACTCCTTGCTTAGCACTTGCTTTCTGCCAAGTATTAGACGAAGTACTTTGTATAATCTATGTAGGCCTCTCATTTATCTTTGCAGCGTTGCTGTGAAGGACGTACCACCACTATGTGTCCTTATAGTGATGTTGTAATGAAAAACTCTCATTTTAAATTCAACCCTTGTTCTGTCTCACCATTTCCCCGACCAGTGCTTCAGTTGAGTTAGCCCTACATGACCTTTCCTAAGTTGGTTCATATAGAAACTGAAACCATCCCACTTGTTAATTTTGTGTCATTAACCACATTACTTTCTCCCATCAGCAATCAAAATATAAAGTGATAAACAAAGACCAGTGGTGCAATGTGCTAGAGTTCAGCAGGACAATTAGTCTGGACCTCAGCAACTATGATGAAGATGGAGCGTGTGAGTACGGGGTGCTGAGTCATCCCTCCTTCCTCCCAGACCTGGTACACTGCACATCTTCCTCCCTGGGAAGACCTTCCAAGCCATGTACTTTCTTTTACCTCTCCCCTCACCCCTCTACCTCTCTCCTACCCCCCCCATCTCCCTTCTTCCCTTCCTCCCTTCCCGTTGGGCCTAGCTCCCCATGCATGTTAGGTGAGCACTGTATCTCCACAAACACCTCCTGCCCTCACATTGCTTATTCTCTCTGTCTCTCCAGGGCCAGTTTTGTTGGATGAATTTGTGGAATGGTATAAAGACAAACAGATGTCCTAGGACTTTATGCATAGCAGCGAGAGAGAGTCACTGTTACCACGGTTACGTCACCCATTAGCCATAAACTGCTGTTTGTATCGAAGCGCATGCTGCTTTTCTTGCACTGTCTCCCTCCTGCAGGGGTGTTTTGGTGTTTGCTATTGAATGGGCCGCTCTGCTTGCTGTGTAGCATTGTTCTCTTGGAGGCTGCTCGGCAGCCTGTTTTCACACTACAGATTGGTGAATTGGCCAATGTCCTCACTGTGATTATGTGTACATTGCTGTTTCAATTTTGTATATGTGTATAAAATGAAAAGCTTCACCTAGAGATTATTTCTGCAAAATGTATTGTAAAAATAATTTTGTGGCATATTTCTAGTCCCCCCCTTTTTTTTTTCAAATGAACCAATTATACTTTATTTGGTCTCAAATGTAGCATTTCAGAAAACGTTATAACTGTCCCCATGAGCAAATATTGCCAGAATTAACCTCATTGCCTAAGAGGCCAACTTCTGGAAGAAGTAGGAGTCATGACTTACAGTGGCATATGCCAAATGTGACTTGGTATTTTAAAGTGATAAAAACTTACAACTATTTGAGCACACAGACATATAACATGCTACAAAGCATCTCTAACACAAAGGTATGTATAGGTTTATGGGTTTATTATCATTATTATTATTTTCTTTTTTTAATGTCAATATTGTTGGTAGCTTGATCATAGGTACAAGTGAACAACTTAAAATTGCTCTTTATTTTAAATTGAAGCTTAAGTTTCCATAAACCTTTTTGCTGTTTCCCCCTTTGTGTTCCTCTAGCAGTGTTTGGTCTGTGGAAGCTCTCTGTGCCACTGTGAGTAAAATGTCCTTTGCCACCCCCATGAGCCTACTGGTTTGCTGGCGGTTTATAACTGCAAAGCACTTTTAGTTGTGTCTTGAGTTTTCAGTTACTCTTTCATGGTGTCTGGAATCTCCCAGGATTGGTTTTTCTTTCTTTCTTCTTTCTTTCTCTTTCTTTCTTTCTGACCACAAGTGAGAGAGATTTTGTTTTCTGTCTTTGTTTCTTCTGTGCTAGGCATTTCCTGGCAACATGTCCATTGCAGGCAGTGGACTCAAAACCACCAGCATTGAGCTAACCCTGTTCACATTGGGACCTTTCCCAGAGGGGCCACTTGTCATTCCCTGAGTCACGTGTTTAGAAGGGTGATAGCCATTATATGGATAAGAAAACCAGAGCCAACACAATGGTGTTTCTAGGTTTGTATTTTATGTCTTATTTTAAATTTTTATTTGTTTGCCTTGCCCCTCTTGAGGAAGTGTATAGTTAACAGGTTTTTCCCAGTTATTTGGTGCTATGACTCACTCAGTCCCTGAAGTTTGTGAAAACTTACCTGAAGATGTAACCCAGTGAAGAGCTAAAGGCTTGTTTACCTGGTGAATGCTATAGGGGGGTAAGATCCGTGCCTGCCCAGGCAGGTAATGACTGGAAGATGTTGGGATTATTGGCCAAAAAGAAAGTCTTCTACATTAAATGTGAACCTTAAATGGCATTAAATGAGCGAAGCACACAGACAATGCTACCCTTGTTCACCATTTTACAGTTTCTTTTCAAAGTGTTGCGATTTTCATATTATTTCTTTCCCTGATTGAACCACCAAAGACAGAAGTGTTGTATGTATATATTGTGTGCGTGCATATACAAAATCATGGTGTGGTAGAATGCAACTACTTGCCTTTTTCTACCAAATAATGAGGTTGGTTTGCTGTGAAATAAACCAGAAGTTTAAAAAAACAACAGCTCAATGTTGCTTTAGCATACTTAAATCATCATCCTTGTGTGTAGTCTCACAAATTAATATCCAAACACAATGTAAACTTCCTGGGAAAGCACAGCTGTTGAGACTGCTATGTGACGGGGGTTCCGGCACGTACAGGTGTGTGACAGTGGGGACTGGCAGGCAGGTGCGGGCGGCTCTGTGGAAGACAGTCTCTTTTCAGGTGTACCCACGGTTAAAGAATCACCCTTGAGTTGGATCAACTGTTGATTGCCTCAATGCAAAGATGGATCATAAACGGGATTATTTTAAACGTTGTGTGAGAATCTGTAGAATGTTTTGAACACTAAGCACAGCGAATCTGGGAATCAAGGGTCGTCACCAGGGTGAGAAATTAGATTTCATTCACCTAGAACATTATGATGATAGAGACTCAAGTAACAACCTTTGTGATGTATGGAAGTCAGCATTCTGGAGTGGAGAATCATAGAACTACAAATAATCTCTCAACTGCCTCGAGAACTACACCGCTGTGACTGCTGCTTGCCCTTGGTTTTCTCCATTTTGGCCGAGCAATTTTTAAGGAGAGTCAGACCAAGTCATAAGACATCTTTTCTTGGAGAATTGCCAAGTTATGCAAGCTGAGCGATCACCAAGAGCACTTAGCGGCCAGCGTTGGAAGAAGTCTGGGGACCTTCTGGTCTCCAGTACCTGAGCTCCATCCGCCTTTCCTCTCTTCCCTTGTGTCCTAGTGCATTGCAGTGCCCTCTAGCTAGGGAACACAACTTATAGATGTTTACGCAGCACTAGCTAGAAGCCACCCGGCTAGATTTCCCAGGTACCCATGGTAGCCTTAGGCGCGCCTCTTTTGAAGCATGAACTCTTGAGTTCAGTATTTATAAGTCTAAGTAGACAAACCTCTAGATTCTGGTTTAACAGATTTCTGTTGCCTCTGAGTCTCTATCCTAACCATACTTTTGAAGTCTATACAGAAAGCTTTAAGAGTTTAGTTTGTGCCCTTGGTTTTTATTTTTACAACTGCTAAAATACCTCTGTAAGCCTTATCCTTTATCCTTTCATATGTTGTATAAAATTGTATAGAATTCATTGACCAACTGATGCGTTGGGTATCTGTAAATGAGACCAAAATGTGGGTTGCTTTTTTTTCATACAATAATTTCTCTCAGGCGTTGCTGTGAAATGAACAGTAGCCAGCCTATAACTGTGAATGCCTTGTGTCGTCAGTATTTGCATTACATTCATAAAAGTGTGCAAGTCCTGTGACTCCCAGCTTAACTAAAATACTGTTATGCCACCCAACTTGAGCACAGCAAACTGGTTTAGGTTATAATGGAATTGGTGTAAAATGATATCCCATAAATAAACAAATATTTGTGTTTGGTTTCAGAAGTGATGTTTGGATTCTTTGTCCTCTTGGTTTCTCTGTCCAAACCATTTTAGGGTAGCTTTAAAATACCTTTCTTTTTAATCCATTTGCTTTCTCTCAGCCTTTTCTATTAAAAAAATGTTTGCAGGTACAGGGGGAAAATGCAAGAGAAATAATACAATGAACATATATATTTCTGTTACTTAGACATACCTTATGGAATTTGGGGGGGAGAAGAGAAGAAAGGTTCTTTGTGTTTATATCACTTTCTGAATCATTTGAGAGTAAATTGAATTACAACACATCCCACAGATTTCGGGATAAGATGTAATGCGTGGGCGTGTGTGTGTGTGTGTGTGTGTGTGTGTGTGTGTGTGTGTGTGTCTGTCTGTCTGTCTGTCTGTCTGTCTGTGTGTCTCTGTGTCTGTGTCTGTGTGTCTGTGTGTGTCTCTCTGTGTGTAATCTATATAGTGGTGACACACTCAAGAATTTTAACAATGGCAATGTTACCTATTACACAGAGTTAAAATTTCCCTAATTGTATCAATAGTGGTCTAAAAATACTTTATTTTCTATCTAAGGGTAAGAATTGTATTTGACCTTTAGTTCGTGTTCCAGAGTCAGAAGCAGAGGGATCTCTTGTGTATGAGGCCAGCCTTAAATGCATAGTGAGTTCCAGACCAGCCAGGGACATCCTGTGAGACCCTATCTCCAAAAAAAGTATTTACCATGCTTCATTACTTCTTTTAATAAGAATGTTTCCATGAAGAACATCTTAAATGTCTCAGCAAGAGCAGTGTAAACACTCCTCGCCAAATCATGGTGGCAGTACAATTTGCTACAGTATATTGGTGTGTTTCTAAACATTGGATGCTAATAACAATTGATGTTGACCAAGAGCTAGGCAGTAATGACCATTTCACTACCCCCAAGGGTACCGTCCAGGTAAATTGTTGGTATCCGTCTGCTTTCGACTCTATCCTGTATTAGAATGTGAGCTGAGGACAGGCCTTTGGCACATCCTGGAGGACTAGAAAGTGTATGTGGAAGGAAGCAAGCCAGAGTTTCTGGTCTGGCAAAGTACTGCCAGCCTGTAAAATAATCCAGGAGGAACTGGGTGTAAAGAAAGGCCAGGAAGTGATAGATAGTGATAGCCTTTGGAGTCTTATAAACTTCCGGGAAAGAGCAAATAGCGAAATGACTGAGAAGTGAATCCAGCAATACACGCTTGAAATGGGTGACATACCTGGTTCTTTCCATTATCATTTGGCCCAAAATCTAAGGCTCAAGCCAAGAAAGTCTTTTCCAGATACCCAGGAGAGAAGATGGCAAGTGGACATAGAAATTTAATCTCAAATTAATGGGAAGGAGCACCAGTAGGTACTGGCTTTCAGCAGGGCATGAGCCTGGGATGTGGCCAGTAGAGGAGAAGTGTACAGTATGTTATCTGGTAGTAGACCCTTGGACAGTGTATCCACATGGAGAGCCAAGGTTCATAAGAGTTTTCCAGCAGTGTGATTGGACCAAGTTAAATGGGAAAAACTACCAAGGTCTAGTCAGACCAGCTGAGGTGTGCTGCAGACCGACAGACAGAGAGGAAAGTTAAAAGGTGGTCCTCAAGGATGTTTTAGGCCAAAAGAACTGGAGATGGGACATGGGGTAAAAATTGGGACTGAAGATAGAGCTTGGAGATAGGATATTTGCCCAGCATGCACAAGGCCTTGGTTACAGCACCATACACAAGAGTCATTCTAGAGCAAAGGTTCCCAACCTGTGGGTCACAACCCCTTTGGCAAACCTAACTTCAAAAATATTTACACTAAAATTCATGATGGTAGCAAAATCAGTTATGACATAGCAACAAAAATAATTTTATGGTTGTGGGGTCACCACAAAATGAAGAACTGAAAAGGTTGAGAAGCACCATTGTAGAGATTTTGCAACTGGGCATCGTGGTATACCTGCTACTAAGCACTTGGGAGACTGAGGGCAGTACTGCCCTGAGTTTTAGGTCAGCCTGGGCTACAGGTTTGAGATCATGTTTGAGAGAGTTAAAAAAAAAAAAATACGGGGCTGGAGAGATGGCTCAGGGCTTAAGAGCACTGGCTGCTCTTCCAGAGACCAGGTTCAATTCCCAGCACCCACATGGTGGCTCACAGTCATCTTTAACATCAGCTCTAAGGGATCTGATGTGTTCTGGCTTCTGCAGGTGTTAGGAGTCAAATCTCAGGGCTTGGCATGAGATCCTAGGCCATACTTGGCAGGCCATATAGTTAACCTTTACATAGCAGCTCCTTAGAACCTCAGTTCAAGAAAAGAAACAACTTGACCCAGTCCTCCACCCACAAGCTCAGTCACCTAGGCAACCCTTCCTGGACCTCTTACTCATAAACTATTTACCCTGCCAAACATCTTCTTTGTGGTTTCCTAATTTCCTGCCTACACTAACACCTGGCTCACAAACAACCCATTCTGCCCCTCCCCATATCCTGCTCTGCCGACTATATAAGCTAGCCTGAGAAAAAAGTAAAGTTTGTCACTTGATCAGAATCCTGTCTTGTGGTCATTCTTTCTGTGTCTCTTGTCATCATCATTCCCTATCCCTGACTGTCTTGCCCCAGGTTGATGTCCTGCAGGTCGGGACATGCAGGCACCAGGCCAAGCATGCATGTGGTACACAAACACTCATACACAGAAAATAATTCATTTTTTTTTAAAGAAACAGATGAACATTGAGTCAAACCCAAGTTACAGAAATAAGGAAAGCTGGCACTGTACACAATCTGTGCCTAAAAAAGGCATGGTGCACTTTTCATGGATACTGTAAGTGTAAGAGTGTGTGTGTGTGTGTGTGTGTGTGTGTTACTCCATATGAAACTCTTCTTGTATCTCCAAGTCCTTGTATAAAAATTAACTTCTATGCAGAAATTCAAAGAGAAGTGTTCCCAGTTGTGTTAGAAATGACTTATCTTTGCAGTCTGTCAACCAGAAAGACAACAAATGATCCAGGTGGACATGACCCCTCGGGCTTTCTGGCCCCACCCACAGCTTGTGAGGCAGAGGACCACCCAACACGGGCACACATACTACTTTTGTCAGCAAAGTTTAATTTTTTCCTGGTTTGAATTCATTCCTGGCATTTAATCTTCAATCATTTTAACAGAAAAGTAGTAGGTTTTTACAAGTCATGATATGTAGGCAGTGCTGAGGATTGGAAACTGAAAACTAAAAGCTGGAAATAATTGGAACATTGTAAAGAGCAGGAAAAAGTCCCATCTCCAAAAGAAATGTGTTTAGTGCTCAAATAAACTCCCTTGAAGTCACTCTGGTAAAACAGAAGTCTGGGTGTTTCTCCTTTAGTGGCTGATTTAGTGGCTGAAGCCCAATGTGGATGTTGGAATCCTAAGTCCTAGTGTGAAGGCATCAGGAGGTAAATGCATCACGAAAGGATTAGCATCTTTGTAAGAAAGACTCCGAGGTTTCTTTCTGCCATTGGATAAATCAAATAGTCGTTGGCAGTGTGCAGTCTGGAAAAGGACGCCCTGTGAAATCTGACTGTGCCAGCGCACCGACCTTGTACTTATAGTCCACAGAGCTGTGAGAAGCGCCTTTATTGCTATTACTCGTGCTGTATTTCCTTTGCCTTCAGCGAGCATGTCAGCCTGTCAGTTATTTACCTGGGAGAATGGTGCAGACCTTCAGCATTGATAGTCTTGCCTGGGTTGGACTATCATAGTTTTCTTCCTTCTCCCTTTTTGAAATTTTTATTTTTGTTTTATTTTGAGATAGGGTCTCATGGAGGCTACATTTGGCCTCAGACACACTATGTAGCAGAAGATGGCTTCTGACTTGTGGTTCTTTTGCCTCCAGTTCTCAGGTATGCACCATCATGCCCAATTTATGTAGTGCTGGGGATTAAACCCAGGGCTTTGAGCATACCAGGCAAGAACTTTTCAAAGTGAGCGACAGCTCCAGATCCTTTCTCACGAGACATAATGCCTAAAGGATCTCCTGTCTTTTAGACATACTTTCCTTGCCTCTGCTGTGGAGATTTTCGTTGTACACTTACAGAATGCCTCGCTCACCAACAGTGGCACATACACAGCATTGCTTGCAATCAAGAAACTCACCTCACAGCAAAATAAATGCTGCCATTGGCCTTGCTCATTGAATTTACTGAATGTGTTCCCACCATTGAGAAGAAATGAGTGCAGTTTCTCCTTGACAAGTACCAGTGACCCTGAACCACCTGTAATCCCTTGTGTCAATTCACAGGTATGAGAGTTCCAAAATGGCCAGCAGCAGTCTTAACTTCTCACTCAATGCAACCATTGTTCTGCCTATCGGTGGAAACATTTTCCCTTTTGGCATCAAGATTTCTTGGCCAGTAGAGCAAAGGCCACAGACAGAAGAAGCAAATTTTGCAAGTGAATCATAGCCGGTTATTATGAATGGTGCCACTCCCTTTCCCACCCCTTGACTCCTGGACCCAGGAAGCCTGGCTTTCAGAAAATAGCACTGCTGATTCAGAGCATGTACAGCCTTGTGAAGAACCTTGTCTGAGCTCTGCAAAGTATTGTTCTCTCATGAGTCTTCAAAGGGCTGTTCCACAGTTTTGTGGCACCCTACTTTGGGATGGTGGGGAAACAATTGGTCAATTCCATGAACATGGTTCACGGCTGCACTTGCTTTACTGTGAAATGCATTTCTTGGTTGCAAGCAATGCTGTGTGGCATGCCTCTGCTGGTGAGTGAGGCATTCTGTAAGTTCACAAATGGGAGTTTGGGCAAATGCACTGTGTGTTTGGAAGGCAAATGCATATCCAGAGTTAAGTGTCTATTCCGATAGAGTAAAAAGTTGTCCGACAGTCCATGATGGATGCTGTCCAGTGTTATCCACTTGTTATGGGATAGTTCACTCATCACCCCAACGGAATGTTCAATGTTAGTTTTTGCTGTTTGGTTGCTAAGCCCATGTATAATTGCTACCTCGGCTATCATAGTCATTTGTTCATCAACCAATT